TTTTCGACATACCCTTCAGGTTAACTCATCAGGATTGTTTCATCTAAGTCACCATACAAGAACACAGTCTTCACATCCATATGTTCCAGTTCAAGGTTGAACTGTGCCACTGTGGCAAGCAAAATTCGAATGGATCTATTCTTCACAATAGGAGAGAACATATCATTGAATTCGATACCTTCTTTCTGAGTGAATCCCCTAGCAACCAATCTTGCCATGTATCTCTTTGACGCCACTCCTTTGATTCCTTCCTTAACTTTGAAAATCCATTTACAGCTGACTAACCTGGCTCCAGCAGGTTTCTTGATCAGTTCCCATGTGTTGTTATCATGAAGAGATTTCATCTCATCATCTATGGCCTTCAAGCATTCAGTCTTCTTTCGACTCCTCATAACTTCCTTATAGTCTTTAGGTTCTTCATCTAGAACTTCACTAGCAGAGATTAAGGTATAAGCTATAAGATCTGCATACCCAAGTCTCTGAGGTGGCTTGATGACTCTCCTAGACATGTCTCTTGCTAGCAGGTAGTCATTATCAATCTCCTCATCTTCGACAACATCTTCTGCGTCTTCTTCGACTTCATCTGGGGTACGCAATTCAGCATCAACATGCTCTACCTTAACAGGAATCTCTCCCTGTTCCAGCTCTTCGTCAGCATCATTAGTTTTCTTGAAAGCCATCTCTGCTTCATTAGAAACTAAATCTCGACTGGTGATACGCCTCCTGTGACCCGGATCTAGGCACCATAGCCTATAAGCTTTGACTCCTTCAAGGTATCCCATGAACATGAATTTCAGAGCTCTAGGTTTGACCTTGTCTTGCCTAATGTGAGCATAGGCCATACAACCAAATACTATCAGTCTGTCGAGACTAGATGGATGTCCTAACCAAACTTCTTCAGGTGTTTTCATTCCCAAGGAAGTCGAGGGATATCTATTTATCAGGTAAGCTGCTGTCGAAATAGCTTCCGTCCAAAACACCTTCTTCAATCCAGCATTAACCAACATGCATCTTACCCTTTCGAGGATTGTTTAATTGAATCTCTCAGCTAAGCCATTTTGTTGAGGAGTACCTGCTACAGTCTTATGCCTTGCAATCCCAGACTCAACACAAAAACTGTCGAACGCTTCATTGCAGAATTCAAGACCATTGTCGGTTCTCAGCCTCTTAACCTTTCTGTCAGTTTGAGTTTCGACCAGAATCTTCCAACTTTTGAAATTCTCAAAAGTTTCATCCTTCGTCTTCTGAATGAATACTCATAGCTTTCTGGAATAGTCATCAATGATGGATAGAAAATACCTTGCACCTGAGTGTGAAGGATTCCTTGCAGGCCCCCAAAGATCAACATGAATGTAATCCAGGGATCCATGTGTTCTTTGCTTGCCTTTGTTAAACTTAGTCCTACAGGATTTACCAAATACACAAGATTCACAAAACTCCAACTTTTCGACTTTGTCACCTCCTAGCAGGTTCTGCTTCCCCAATTTGAACATACCTCTTTCGCTGACATGGCCCGATCTCATGTGCCATAATTCTGTCTTTGACACGAGTTTTGTGGATGCAACATTTGTCGAACCACTTACAACCTCAACCTTAAGGGTATACAAGTCTTGTTTCTTCACGCCTCTCAAAACTTCCTTCGACCCCTTCATGACTCTTAAGATACTTTTCTCTCCTTGAAAAACATATCCCTTTCTGTCGAATTCACCAAGAGAAATAAAATTTCTCTTCAAGTCAGGTACGTACCTAACTTCAGTCAACAACCTTATTGACTCATCATGGAGCTTGAATCTCACAGATCCAATACCTACAATTTTGCAAGATTTGTTGTTTCCCAACTGTATAGATCCACCATCTTGATCACATAGCTCCTCGAACAATTCTCTGTTTGGAGTCATGTGCCAAGTGCAACCTGAATCCATAATCCACTCCTTTTTCGAGTCGCCACTTGAAACCACAAGAACATCAGATGAGTCGAAGTCATCTTGAACAATGGCTGCGTTGCCATTACCTCCATGATCTTTCAAGCGTTCAGGGCACACCTTTCTTATGTAACCCTCCTTCTTACAGTGATAACATCGAATACCAAATGTTTCGCCACTATAAGACTTTTGTTGACTTTTACCTTTCTTCTTGTCGAACTTACCATCCTTTTGCAAGAATTTTCTCTTAACGGTCAAACCTTCACCCACCGTCGAAGGTTTATGCTCTTTTCATTCGTTCAAGTCCTTAGAATACAAGGCTGATTGAACTTCTTCAAAGGCCAGAGACTCCCTTCCATACAAGAGAGTTTCTTTGAAGTGAGCATGTGTTCTGGGAAAAGCACACAGCAGCAACAGTGCTTGATCTTCATCATCGATCTTCACATCAATATTTTCAAGATCAAGAATCAGCTTGTTGAACATATCCAACTGCTCAGCCAACACTTTGTCTTCACTCATCTTGAATGAATGTAAAACTTGCTTCAGGTAGAGTCGATTCACCAGAGATTTGGTCATGTACAAACTTTCAAGTTTCACCCATAATCCCGATGTTGTAGTCTCCTTTGATACCTGTCGAAGAACCTTATCACCAAGGCTCAACAATATTGCGATGTGGGCTTTCTCGATCATGCCCGTTTTTTTGTTTTGTCGTTAACGCAGCGTCCATGACTGTCTCACCCTTCAACACTTCCAAACAATCCTGCTCAACCAGTAAGGCTTTCATCTTCAAGCGCCACAGATCGAAGTCGTTCACTCTGGTGAACTTTTCAATCTCATACTTTGTTGAAGACATCTTCTCCACGCTCACCGCACCAATTTTTTGTGAATCGGATACCTTGAGACTAAGTATAAACATTTTCTTAATGATCAAGAAACACACAACGGTTAGGGTTAACAAAGAGGACAAGGTAAAACAACAAGGAACAACAAGGATTGGTTATTAAACTGTTATTCTTTCCTTTCTCTTAGAACAAGATTACAAGTATACAAGAATAACATAATAATCTCTCTCTCTTGAAATTAGGATTTTATCTTCCTATTTTTCCTTATGACAAGATTGAGAAACTAGCATCCTATTTATAAGAAAAATAGCACACTAACCTAATGGGCTTTTTAACAATTACCCATTACAAGCTAACTTAGAGTACAAGCTAACTTAAACAATTGATCTTGCAAGCAAGGCCCAATTCAACATGCTAACAACCCTAGCAATATTGACTAATGCATGTTAGAACAAACTTCGACTACAACACGCGTTACTCGCGAACAGACTTCGACCATACTAGAGTTCGATACAACATCTCACAATGCCAAAATAATTTTCTAAGATGAAAATTTTGAAGAGACAATCTACATGAAACTATATGAAGGTTTTGTGGAAGATAATGTTAAAGTATTTGTATCATTGAAACAAAGCCCAAGTTAGTGGTATCATTGATTTGATAAATTTCTTCTTAAACATGACTTTGTAAGAAGTAATTATGAGAATTATGTATACATATGGAATAGAAATGAGAAAGTCATTCTCAACCTCATTTTATATTTTGATGATATTTTGATGGCAACTTCTAGAAAGATAGATATCAGTAAGCTTAATGAAATATTGAATGTTAAATTTGAAATGAAAGATATTTGTGAAGCTAAAAAAATTATGGGTATGAAAATCATGAGAAGTTGCAAGAAGAATGAATTGTTCCTATCTCAATCTAGTAAGTTGAAAAAAGTGGTTGAACGGTTTTTAATGCAGTATGCTAAATACGTTAACGCTCCACTGGATCATCACACAAAGTTTTTGGTTAAACAATGTAAGGAAATAGAGGAAGAGAAAAATATAATGCTGAGTACTCTATATGCATGTGGGGTTGGAAGCATTAGGTATGGTATGGTTTGTAGTAGACCAAATTTAGCATGTAGTCAACTTAGTAAGTCGTTTTTGGAAAATCCTGATCAAATTCAATATAAAGGTTTGAAGTAGTTGTTGAGGTATTTGAATGGTTCTCTAAATGGTGGTTTATAGTACACAAAGTCAGCTCAAAAGAAATATTTTTTAGAGACTTTTTATAGATTCAAACTATATAGGTAATGTGGACACTATTCAACAATCAGTTGTCACGTTATTTATTATTCAAGAGGAATATATTGTCCTTGTTGGAGGGGTCAAGTAAGTCACATGCCTAAAAGACATGATTGGGGAGTTAGGAATTATTCTAGAATGTGCGAATATAAATTGTGACAATCAAAGTTCTATTCACTTGGCCAATAATCAAGTTTATTATGAGAGTGCAAAACATGTTGACATCCGTTTGCACTTTAAAAGAGATATAATAGAGTCAAAGAAGATTCATGTTCAAAAAGTGGTCTCAAAGGAGAATCTAGTAGATATGTTCACCAATTTATTGTCAAGATTGACATTCAAGCATTGCTTGAACTTGATCAAATTTGTTGAAGTGTGATTCAAACTTTGGAGAGACCAATAAAGCGTATCTGAACGTTGATCAAATTTTTTGAAGTGTGATTCAAACTTTGGAGAGCAATAAGACGTATTTGTCTCTCACATCACATACTCACTCAAAACTTCAAAATAATAGATATGTGAACTCTCTCATATATAAATGTTCAAGTCTCCACATTTTTAATAAATGTGCAATTTCCCCTCCACTACTCACACTTCGTTATTCTCATCATCAAAAAGTACATTCATGACATTAGATTGTACACCATATTAACTTATACCGACACTTTTCTAATTTCACATGAATTATTTAAAAAAATGTAATATAGTAAAATTTATATAGGCATGATAAATTGAGAGTTACTGTATAAAAAAGAAACATTCTTCTTTATGAAAAGGAGAAATTAGAAGTGTCCTTACAAAATAATTGAATGAAATGGCCTTCTAGAATGCAAATTTTGAGGTTCTTTCTTAATATATTCTCAATCAAAACTTCTCAATGATATTTATCAATAGGCTGGTCAGAAGAGTCCCTTGAGTTCAACCACGCAACAAGTAACATATAGTCACAAAAACTTCTCCAAGCCATATACCAAGTTCTTCAAAAAAAAATAACAAAAAAATGAATCAGATTAAGCAGAATTATATATATTACATAGAAATCGCTTAAAGCTTAGACTTCAAATAGTTGAGGTACCTTGAGTCTCACTACTTTTCTAATAGCTAACAGCAAGCCTGGCATGAGACATTGTACATCTGTAATATCATGCTTGATGGTGTAAATCTGCAGCAATTCAACTCACTATCAGAAGATAATACATTCTTATAATTTCGGTTTTCGGCTTTTCGCGAAGTACATACCTCTCCTAGGCCAGAAAAGTGAACTGCTGTACTAGAGGGAAGCCCTGGTAGGACCAAGCTATGCACACGAATACCATCTCCCAAAACTTGACCCCTTGCCAAAACATCTGTTGAGGAATCTTCTCGGTTATAGATTTGACCGAGGTTTGAGAGATTGTTCGCAATTTGGTTTGCATCTGCTGATGGAAGATCCTGTTCAACAAGGCTTTTTCAGTATATTTGATTTCATATATTTTGAACTATAAAGAAAAACATAAACTGTTACATTTGCATTAGCCTTGGATTCCACGATTTCGACGTTGCGGTAATGGAAAGAAGCTGAAATTGCAGCCTGCTGTAATAATATTGATCCTATTGAAAGAGTTGGAGCAACCAAAACACCCTGAAATTATATAGTTAACCAAATGGATTAGTAGTAGGTTTAGTCTAAAGATGCATTCTTTGCTGTTCAATTGTGGATTATGGATTAGTATTTGTTCTTATATTTGTATGTCTCACCCCTTGCTCACCATGCTGGCTTTCTCACAAAATGCAGATAATGCTGCAACCGTGTCGGATTTGAGTCGCGGTACGTAAACGACACTTTTCATGCCAAATGCTGTTGCCTAGTGAAGAATGAATCAATGTAGAGTTTATAGTTCAATTTATATGAATATTTGGTAAAAAAATAAGTATGTTGGTAACCAGAATTCAAACCTGTTTTACATTGTCATAGACTGTGGAAGGGTCAGTGAAATCGACTACAACTGCGGAGGCCTTGGACTGCAAAAAAGTCATTGTAGATCAAAAAGATTAAAGAAGTATTAATTGGGTTTCTAGTGGCGTTGGACCACAAATCCTAGTTCAACTAGCAAAAGCCGATATTGCTAGGTTGAATGTCAACAACACCAAGGTGTCTCACCATTGTGAATGTGAGTTTTAAGTGATTATGACAACTTCGTCTACAGATAAAAAAAAAAGAATAATACCAAGTTTTCTATTGCGAATTCACATTACCTGAGATATAGAGCCCAAAACCATAGTAAGGTCATTTAGTATAGGTATTTCAAGGGGTTCTTCCATGCCACAAACCTATAAGAAAGTTCAAAATTTGGCCTACTTTATATAAGCAACTTAATTAGGCACTTATAGCATCTGTATAAACTATTTCTATAACAAAAGATAAAATATAGTCAATTTTTTTTCATATGAGCTGCAAACTGTTTTCATAATCATAAGTTATTTTCATAAAAAAAAATATGAAAAAAAGAAGCTAAAAACAGCTTATGGACATATCATAATAATCATAAGTTGTCTTAAACAAAAAACCTGTCCAATATCTTCTCCAACATAGTGAGTATCAATGGCTCCAGCAACTTCCATTCCCCTAGCTTTTGTCACAGCTAATACAGCAGCTCTCCCTATTTCCTTGGCTGCTCCATTTATCACAACCTATTCCAAAAAGGGTGTTCAAAATTGAAATCACTTTGTAATTTTGAAAAAGCTCTTTCAGTTAGTACCTTTATATTGCTTTGTAAAGGCTGTGATGAGCATGAAATTATGAAATTCTTGCTTCTGCTTTTAAGCTTCTGAGAATTCAAGTAGTTGGTGGAATGAAACTGGCAGCTTAAGGCTGCCATAGCTGCTGCTTAAGCTTATGTGAACAAAAGAAGATAAGTTTGTATATTCTGTGACACACATAGCTTCAGCTGAGTAATATTTTGATAGATAAGGTAATGTCTTGGCAGATTTTCTTTTAGCGATTGAAATAAAGATCCTATTAAAAAGTATTATTACCTAAGAAAACCAACTATCTATCCATAATTTCGCTTTCACTACAAATTATTTAGGCATTTAAGTAACCAAATAATATTTATTTTTTCTATTTTCATCTTCTATTATAGCATTACATGTGTTCAATTTCAACAATTTATTATATATCTAATTTCTTTATAAGATTGATATGCGACATTTGAGCTGTTAAAATAGACTATTCAGTGATAAATGAGTTGGTGAGTTGGTTCCGACGGGTCTCGAGCTTTTTATGGTTGGACAAAAAAATTCTACTGTAATATAGATTTGAAAAAAATTCGGTCGTAATATAGATTTGAAATTTTTTTTGTTTTAGATGGACTTCGGACTATTTGGCCTTAAATGAGTTTTTTTAATAAAAAATTAAAATAAAAATTTTATAATATTTATTATAAATAAAATTAAAAATTATATTATTTTAAACATAATATATTTTTAATTACTATATTATTTTTTATAAATATTATAATATGTTTTAAATACAACACATGTGTAAATTATATAAAATAATACTCAAATATTTAATATAAGAGATACTAATAGAGTACATGAAAATAATGTTGATTATATTAAAGTATAAGATTTAAAAGAGAAAGATTGAATAGAATAGAAAATAACTTTAATAAAGTGAGAAAAATAAATGTGTTATTTTAGAGGACAATATAAATATTAATATAATTTTTTAAAAATTTATAGTAAATGTGTTATTTTGGAGGACAATATAAATATTAATATAATTTTTTTTAAATTTATATCATTACGGGTCTAATAAATTATCCACAGCCCCCCATATGGACTAATCCTAATGGGTAGCAAATTTTTTAGGATTGAGTTACAAAAAGTCCTAAAAATATGAGCTCTAAGGGTTTTACGACCCGATCCATATGGGCCAACTCATTTTAACACCTATGTGGTATTCATTTTTCAAGTTTCACCCATTAAATCACAATTAAATATTACAAACATTCATCATCACTTTTATTAAAAATTCAAATATCTTTACTAAATCTTTTTCAATTTCATTTTAATTTTTTTCTCTCTATTTATTTATTATTACTAAAAATACTAATATATATATATATATATATATATATATATATATATATATATATATATATATATATATATATATATATATATATATATATATATATATATATATATATATATATATATATATATATATATATATATATATATATATATATATATATATATATATATATATATATATATATATATATATATATATATATATATATTAATTTTAATAAAATAAATAATTTATTTTATCTCACGGGTCATTATCAACACAATATTTATTTTATTTTAATCAACTATTATTTTAATTTAAGAGACAAAATTCTTATTTTTCTTTCTCTATTCATGGTTCTTTTTTGTGTATGATTATTTAATACAATTAAATTTATATGTTTATTGTTCATTTTACAATTAAGTAAATCATTTCAAATTTTGCATGTTTATTTAAATATATTTTATATCGTATTAAATAATTTTATCTTACGAGTCATTATTAGTACAATGTCTATTTTATTTTAATCAACAATTTGTTTTTATTTGAAAAGATAAAATTCTTATTTCAAAGTATCAAAGTTTTCTTTTTTTTTTTTCTTTCTTCATCTCACAAGTCATTTTTTTCCCATGATTATTTAATACAGTTGAGTTTATATAATTATTTTTCATTGGGAAATGCTAACGAGTGTCCTTAGGACATTGGTTAAGAGATTAAAATGGTAAGTTGGGCATTATTTAAGAGATTGAAAATACATTTTTTTTTTAAATATATGTGTATTCAATTCTCTGAAAAGAGAAATAATCAGATTTTTTTAAAGAATATTGTGTGTATTGAGTGAATTAAATATAACATATTTTCCTTATTTGGAATTCTTAACTAGTGCCCTGAGGACACTGGTTAGCATGACCCTTTTTCATTTTACAATTAACTGACTCATTTCAAATTTACATCTATATATAAATACATTTTAGATTGTATCAAATAAACTTTCTATTTCATTGGTTATATCACTATCACAATACATATTTTATTTTAATCAATTATTACTTTAATAAAATTTTTATTTTTAAATATTAAATATTTCTTTTTGTATCATATTGGTCAATTTTTTTCTCTTATATTTTAATATAATTGAATTGATATAACTATTGTATCTAATTAGTTAAATAATGTTATGTCATATCAAATAAATTGTATCTAATTAGTTAATCACTTTGAGTTCTGTCCAGAATTTTACATCAATTTAAATAAAAATCCTATTATTTTTTATAAATCTATCTATAACTTTTAATTTAAGATTTAATTATTAAATTAAAGGTTTCAAAAAATAAGTAGCTGAAATTTTATAATGACTTAGACTCAGTTGAGTATTACCTATAGCTTATAGGTTATAAACTCATATGACAATAAAAGATGTGTTTGATAACCATTTTTTTATCATGAGCTTATGGTTTATTTTATTATATTATAACTTATTTTTCATATGTTATTTCAAATAACGTTTTAGTTTATAATTTTATCGCATTTTCTTTCAATTTTGTCTTTATTATTGTAACTAAAATCAACTGCTACCCATTATAACTTATTGTAATTTAAAATAAAATAAAAATTATTAAATATTTGTTATGTTACTTTGATTTATCAACTAATTAAATTGTTATTTTATCAAACACTTCAATTAATTTATTAATTATAAACTATCAACTATAAACTATAAGCTATCAGTCATCAGCTATTGGTCATAAAGTATAAGCTTTGAGCTAGCTTATCATCAAATTGTCATTTTTACCAAACACAACCTAAAATTTAAAGAGAGTAATCAACAAGAGAACATTTATAATCGATTGAAAGTATATAATAAGAGAGTTTAAAATAAGACTATCTGCTAGTTTGTTTAAGTCCATAAATGGATTTTGAAGTTTGTAGACAATGGTATTAGAAGAGGCAGAATAAACAATAACCCCATTTGGCAAAGTCAACATTAAAAAAACAATTATTAATGTTTAATTGTTCTAAAAACCAACCTTTTATTGAAATTAAGGCAAGGAGAGATCTTAATGTTGTGAGTTTGACAGTGGGAAAGAACATGTCAACTAGTTAATACCCTTAATTTGAGTGTATCCTTTGGTGACTAGGAGAGCTTTGTAACACTTAATAAAACCATCAATATTATACTTAATTTTGTGCACCCATTTACATCCTATGGGCTTTTTATTGACAACGAAATCAACTATAGACCAAGTGTTAGTGGAAATAAAAGCGTCCAATTCAGTTTTCATAGCATCTTCCTAACATTCTAACTTACAAGCTTGACTATAAGTCCTAGGTTTAGCTATAGAAGAAATGGAAAATCTAACTCTTTTATAGTTATCCGAACAATTATGATATTGTAAAATAGAGGATAAAGGAAATAAAGTACCATGAATAGTAACATTTGCAGAAGGATGTTGTCGTAGGAGATTACAATGATAATCCTTAAGATAACTTAAAGGGTGGTTGTTCTAAAGTAATGTCGTAAGGGTATAGGGGGTATGGGTGGAAAAACGGGTCGTGGCCCTTCGGGTCGGCCTGCCCGCCCGCCCAAAAATGACGGGTTGGGTTAGAGATGTGTGTCCGCCTACCCGCCTAACCTGCTCCGCCTTAAGTCCGCCAAAAAGAGGAGCAAGTTGGCCCGCCAGCCCACCAACATAGTTATCAAGCACTAAAATCATTTTTTTGTTGGTTGAAAGTTAATACTTGAACTATATTTTGGAGTACTTGTTGATGATTCTATTTTATACATTTATTTGTGAATATATGCAATATTTTTTTAAGTAAAATTTGTTATAAAGATGCTTTATAAAAAATTAGTGTAAAATCTAATTAAAATGTAAAAATAAGCATATTAATCTATTAAAAAATAAAAACTAAATAAATGATAAAATGACAAGCAAGCCCGCCGCCCGACAATCCGCCACCTTAGTGGGGCGGGCTAGATTTTTAAGCCCATTTTTACTTGGCAGGCTTACCTGCCCCACCCCGTTTTTTGGCGTGTTTAAGGCGGAGCAGGCGGTCTGTTTTGCCACCCCTAATAGGGGTGTGTGAGGGAAGGAGTTTTAGAAGGGAAGAAATCGGTAGGGGCAGGAAGGGGTAGGGGATTATGTTGGTTCAGAAGCTGTTAAAATAGATTGCAGTGTGATTGCGTTATGAGGTGGTATGGGTTAAGAAGGGATCCAAAAATCTAAATATGGTTCATGTGTTTCATGTGAAATGTTGGAAGAACTGATAGTATGATGTGAGGGAATATTAAAGGGGAAATAGTCTCATAAAATACTACATTTCTAGAAAAAAATTCATGGAAATATAAATCATAAAACAAATAGCCTTTACTTCCATGTTTATATCCTAAAAAATTAGTTTTTCTAGCAAGAGAATCAAATTTAATTCTACAAGCATGTATAATACAAGCAAAAGCAAGACAACCAAAACATGCAATAATGTAGGAGACTTCTTTTTCAATAAGGGTCCGGGAATATGATTAATTAGATGCACAACATGTTGAATATAGAAGTGCCAGAAATTTTGAGGAAGGTGAGCTTGAAAGGAAAGAGTTCTAGCAACATTTAAAATGTGTTGACGTTTCCTTTTAGCCAAATCAATTTCTTGAGGGAATTCAACGCATGATCATTGATGTAAAATCCCTTTTGAATTAAACAAATCATGCATTAAAAATTTAGGACCATGATCACTCCTAAGGCATTTTAATGACATGGAAAATTGGTTTTCAATGAAAGATATAAAGGTAGAAAGATG